GCCCTGTGGTGAAAAGCCAGAAAATGTGGCTCAAAAGTGAGAAAAACCAGCTTTCTGTCAGAAAAATCAACTTTTGGAGAGAGAAAATGAGAAAACTGACTTTTCAAGGGAAGAGGTGGCCGGCCACCATCCTACCACCTCCTTAACAGTGAAAATAGGGTCTCTACCAAAAACGGACCAAAACGGATGCAAAACGAAGGTTCGGGGGCCAAAACTCGCAGTTCGGGGCCCTAAAAACAGGCTGTTAGGCACCGGAAGTGGCGTATGACCACGAAGGTGGTCTCTCGGGCCACAGTGTCCCTCTAAAGGGAGGAAATAAGATGTGTGCCAAAAACCGGAGTAAACGGAGGTAGTTAAGCAGTCCCGAACCGAGGCACACGGCCGACGGCTCTGAAAACCGGAAACCGGGCTCCAAAAGGGAAAAAAAAAGCCTACGACCACGAAACGTAACCTACGGCCACTGAGAGATGGTCTACGAGACCTCTCCCTCCTTTCGGAAGAGAAAACGAAGAAAACAGGATTCGGTTCGCAAACCGAGACAAGGCACAAAAGAGCTCCGAAGTCCGGAGGCAAGGCTCGCAGCCGAGACTCTGAAACCTCAGAACGAGCACAACATGCAACATCATCGAGCGCTTAACTGGTGACGTCTAAGTCTTAAGGTCGGTCAAAAATAGGGTGTCTATAGGTGGATTGAGAGAAAGGAAATGGGGCAAATGGGTTAGCGAAGTGGTGATTAGAATTAGAATTAGAATTGGGATTAAAGTTTCAATTTGAATGCTTTTTCAAAAAAAAAAAAAAAAGGGGGATAAATTACATTTTAACTTCCTGTGGTTTATTTGAAAAATCCAAAACCCCCCTATGATTTCATTTGTAACACTTAAACTTGCTGGAGTTCTTATCAAAGTGCAATTTCAGACAAAGTAATAGAAATTGTAAAAAGTCTAAATTACCCTTATTTATTTCTCTAATTTTCTTCTTAATATCATCACAAACCAAAAATTCTCTCACATTTTTCTTTAATATTTATGTATTCTTTTTCTCTTCTTCTCTCATTTCTTTCTCATCCCATGGCAAACCACATACCACTCATACCACCATCAAATACATATCTCTCTTTCTATGTAGAATTTAGACCTATCTCTCTCTCTTTCTCTCTAGAATCTAGAATTTAGACCTAAACAAATACTCATATCTCTCTCTAGAATTTAGACCCAAACAAATAGTCCATAGTTGCAAACACCTACCAAGCTTATCCCATCTCCTCCACTCAACCAACACCCATCACCTTTCTCTTTCACGGCATCCATAGTGGTAGCCACCACTACAATTTGGGTCTTGACTTAGTTAATTGGGTATGCCTATATATATAATCTATACATGTCTATAGTGATAAAGAGAAGATGAAGGATGATAGTGGTTGTCATGGTAGAGAATGATAGACATATATTTTAATTTTTGGGTTAACTTTATTTGAGTTAAGAGGATGATACACATAGATTTTAGAAGAATAATAAAACAAAAATGAAAGGGAAAGATGAAGAAATGAGGGATATAAACTAGAGAAAGAGAGAAACATTTTAAAGAGAGAACCAACGTTTCTAGCTTTCAAACAACTTGGGAAGAATAAGAAGAATGTAAGGAATTATTTAGTCTGGTTGAGAGGGGATGCTAAGGCGGATGTGTGGCAACCAAGAAAAAACATGTAGATAAAATGAGTGTAGCTAAAATGAGAATACTAAGGTGGATGTGTGGCAAGACTAGACAAAACAAAATTAAGAATGAGTGTATTCAAGAATGGGTAAAAGTAGCATCGATAGAAGATAAGTTGAGAGAGAATCGATTTGGATGGTTTGATCTTATTCAACGGAGACCAACAGAGGCAGTAGTGAAGAGATGCGATACAAT